GAAAGAGCCATTCAACATTATGTGTACATTTTCTTTCGATACTCCAAGCTGATAATGCTTTCAATAATACTTAACAGTAAACTCATAATATTAAAATGGGCGATTGGAAACATTAGTACTTTAACTTTTGGACCTTTGAGTACATTTTGATGTTAATACCTTTGTACTTATACTGTTTACTTGTAGTATTTTTACTTTTACTTATTTAATGGGTGTGAGTACTTGTTCCCCCTGTGACTGAACCTATTGAAATTGACTGGATTACTGTATGTCGCCTTTACGCATGACTGGCGGGTTATTGAAGGACGATCTGCAAACACCACTAACACAATGTGAACACAAACTCACATCAGTATTTACGATCTGCCCCGCTGTGAAAATAAACCAGCATGCACTGAAATAACACATTTTCAATATCAGCCTCCATACTTACACACAATATCTTATACACCATTTGAGCGATTTTTTTTATTTCTATTTATTCATTATGGCGACGAACCAACGGAGAAAGAAAGTATTCAAAAATATCCAAGAAGTAACGACAGAAGTGAGATTACAAATAGCGGGAAATAAATAGTGATAGACATCGGACAAATATTCAACAATGTGGTGAAATGTTTGGACGTTTTTACTGAAAATCTCCAATTAGACTTCGCGCTGATGTGGAGATTTGATGTCGGGAAAAGACGTGGAAACATTGTAATACAGGAGGAGTGAATGAAGGCATTCAGAAATATGGCAAACAGAACCAAACAGACTGGTGCGTAAAAGCATCAAAGATTAAAATAAAAGATAAAGCGTTTAGTATTTAACAGCAAAACCTAAATATATATCAATGCTAGAATAATAGCTATTTTTGTATTTGTATTCAGGATTTGATTAGATTAGATAAGCTGTATTGATCCACATTTTGGAATTCGTCAGAGCAGCATAGGTAAGACATAGCACAATCATTATAAAGTAAAACCAAAAGTAAAGATATATCAGCAGTAATTATATACACCAACATGTTTGTATATTGCCTTGATACATAAATAAATATATAGTAAATAAATAAAGTAACCATATAGCTTATTGGCCCACATCAAATGTATTTTCTTTATTATTATCTGTAAAAGAAGTCCATTTCAAATGTCTGTGTATTAACGTAAAGTCAGCGCTAATGATAACTTAAGTAAGAAAAGTTTTTTTATATTTACATTTTCTTCTGAATAAAGAATCGATTATTGTTATGTCTTTTTAGCCGTTTGTAGGGCCTTGATACACTTTTCTGAATACTTCCTCGTGCATACCTGCATCTCCCCGTGCATTTCCTGCAGCCCCGCGAGGACACCCCGGGCTGTCAACTGCTCACTTCCTCTCCCTTATTCTGGGATTTACACTAATATTTATACAGGATAGGGTTTAATACGTGGAGTGCGCCGCCTCGGTCCCCACTGCTAATGTCACGCAACATGAATGTGAACATCATTGTTTTTATGATGAGTGGCACACCTGGTGATTTATTATGTGTTAAAAGATGGGAGCGCGTAATTAATAATGTTATCATCCTGATTGTGGCTCGTTAATTTAAAAGACTGGGGAAATAAATATGAATACAACACAAGCGTAAAAGACGTCAAAGCAGGGTTTTTTTTAGGAGAGAGAGAGAGAGAGAGAAGAAAGGAGAGGAAGAAGAGGTTAACTATCACATCTCTGTTTATTAATAACACAGAAATGCAGCCGAGATCTGAGCCATTTAATGAGGCATGGGCGGGATCTCTTTTTTTGTGTCATTGATTACCACCACACAGGCCTGTCCTGTACTGTACATCAGGAGGAACAGCAGAGAACCAGCAGCATGTGGGGATAAGTGTCACTGACAGATTCTCAAAATGTGTTAAAAGAATGTTACGCACAGGTAAATGCAATGAGACCGATTTTAATACAACTTTATCGAACAAATGTGTTTTTGTGCGTAAAGGTTCGCGTCAAATGGCACCGAAGCCCCGCAGGGTTTCCTTCTGGTGGCCCAAGTCCCCCTTGGGCACTTCATATCTGTGCCGTTTGGAGAGAAGCGCTATATAGGAACGACGCGCTATAAGAGAGGATACTATTTTCCTGAGTAAAATAAAAGTGAAAAAAACATTTTAACTGCTAAAAATATTTTAAAAAATATATATAATGTAAATGGTACTTTCAGTTCCGCCAATTATATGTGGGTATAGGGTGGATGATGCCTGCAGGAAAACTCCGCGAGCTGAAGTGAGGGCTTTGAATTTGCGACTAAAAGGTGGGCAGTGGGCACATGTATTTGTACGGATGCACTAACTACACTAAACAGTGCCATGTCACTGATATTGCTCTCAGCAGGGCCATCGGCCGAGTGCATGTATACAAAGTGTAACAATCTTTAGAGATCATTCTTTTCGACATTAATACTAAAATGTACAATTCAATCCACTCTAAAGAGGACTTTGACCGATCCAAAGTTTACGGAAACACGTTTTCTCTAATCAATAAATCCAAGAGTTCTCCTCTATCAGTTCCACATGGAGCCTACTCGTTTGAAAACATGGTCAAAGTTATTAATAGGCTATGCTATGTGAATAATAATTTTACAAAAACAAACAAATAACCTGATTTTATATTGACAAAGGACTGACTTGGTTCTCGCTGTTGTGTGTCCGTCAGTCAGTGTTCAGGCTGTTTCCTCCTATCAGCTCACACTTTGCTCACTTTGTCGACTTGTTGTCAGCCCGAGAGGAAAGGTCTGCAGCACGGGGCCCTACAGCAAACATATTCCAAGGAAGGTTGGCTAAAAACATGAATAATAAAACTGTATTTTAAAGGACAAAAACGATTGTCGTGTCACAGATGCGTGAATGTAACGAAATCTAAAAGTCGTAGAGTAACACATGTGCTAAAGGAGCCTGTTGTGTATGATCGTAGTAAAAGCCTTATTTCACACTGTACGGAAACTGTTCCATTAAAATAAAAGGAGGTAGGCTACAGAGATTTCAGTTGTTGGTATCATTCGCCGTTAACTTCTGTGCAATGAAAGTAACTAACCCTGATAAAGACTTGTTGAGTCGTTGGCCATTCATGTATCAATAAAGTGTTTTTAATTAACATTCCGAGGGCCATGGATTTCCAATAAAAGTGAGAGGACAGTCCTTTTATTTATTATTTTATTCCTACGCAACTGTATTCTTAAGAAGCCAATATTGTGTTTTTTCACCGAAAAAAATCGCATTATTTTCATTTTTTGTAAGCTTTCCACATTAAGTCTGCTCTGAAACTTCCTCTACTTTCACACAGCACTTTATTTTAATGTGTTGAAATGTGTTGTTGTTTTGGAGTGGGGTGTGGGTTGATGAGGCTTAATGTTGAACAAGTGTATTTTCTCCGAGTAAAATGTCCTCTCAAACTCAGGAGTTCATGTTGAACTGCGCTTCGGCCGCTCTGAGGCCCGCGAGCGGATTCCAACACAGTCTCTTCCCATTCTGATCTGCTCCTGTATTTTGTCTGTTATCACCTGAGTATTTACAAAGGGGGCTTCCGACTCGGCCATGATGAAGTGAGTCGGTATCGATGGCATCATATCTGATTAAAAAAAAGAGGAAGAAAAAGTCTGCATTTGGTGATGACACTGGTGTTGACTTTACCATTTATTTCATTTAATATTTGGGCAAATTCTAAATAAACTGAGTGCTAATTCCCTCGTACTCCTAACTCTAAACTTGTACATTGCTCTGAATATTTTGCAACCTTTTCCATAATTCTTCTTGATAAACTGCACATCTCTTACATTTTGAATCTGAAACTGTACATCATTTATTTTTATTATGTCCGTTTCTTTATGTACTTTTTGCATATTCTTATATTTCTGGTTCACAAGTGTTTTAAAAGGTAACAAAATAGTTTTATAAAAGTGATAACAAATGTGTTTATGCACCATTATAATCAAATTCCTCACCTATCTATCTATCTATCCATTTGCCATTACCAACACATTGCAGTAGTTGATGTTATGCTCAGAGACTCCCGCGGAGAAACATCCAAAACAAATAAGAGGTAATCCTCTAACTGCTTTATCCCATTAGACCCCCGCTGCTGCCTTCACGCTTAATTCAGAGACTCCCGGTGTAAATGAGACCTTCCGCTTTGTATCAGCAGCTCCAAAACAACACGTCTTCACTGCTGCACATTAAACTCGACCTGATAATCTGAGAAGCTATAGGGCGATACAGGAGGAGAGGTCAAGTCCAGCTGCGGCCTCAAGTGCCTCGTGTGTTTGTCTGTGTGCGTTTACTGACTGCAGCGAAGGCATTTTGTCCAGTAGAGTTCATATCTTTAGGTATGTGGCATAGGAGGAAAGGGGCTGCGTAAAAGTCATAAAAACGCAAAAAAAGTAGACAAAAAAGCCTAAAGGTATAGATTCGTTTTATTTTATGAACTGAAGGTGCCATTGGGTTTCGTCAAAGCTGCCTCCAAATAAAGTATTAGTATGTATTATAACTAGTGTGAATCCAAAAAGGTAACTCCTTAAGTGATAATAGTTTAACATGTCCAGCACCTTAAACTAAACAATCTGCCTCTTCTCGCTAGATTCCATTTCTTGAATCCAAAAAAATCTATTTTATTATTTATGTGCATTTGGCTGAGTTAACTGAAGAATGGGAATCAACTTTATTCCTTTTAGTTTTTCCAAACGTATTAAAAGGAAAACTACATTTCCAGAGTGAGCCCATGCGTAAAAGACCCAGTGCAGCCCCTGGTGCTTCAGGCAGATTTGGGGGCAGGAGCAACTCTTTCTGGTGCCTGCAGCTGAAATATGCATATAGGCCTATAAGTTAGTGGAAAAGTTGCGCACTTTACAGCCGGACATTGCATGAATGACGTTGGGAGTTGAATTAAAATGACTGACACTCTTATTGAAATAAAACATGCAGTGCAGAGCGCAGACACTTTTTTCCTGCTGGAGCAGGGGAGGCGTGGATCTCGCTCACTTTTGACATTCTCCTTGCAGCAGTCGCTTCTCCTCGAGGCAGGACTCAGAGGACACCTCCCCGCACCGACCGGAGGAGAAGCGAGGGAAGGTTTGCCTCTACTCTCTTGAACTATGTTTTGACGGTGGGACGACTTTCAAAAGTTTACGGACTGAATCAGATAACCGGGGAACTTGTGGGAATACTCTAAGAACAGTCGAGCCCAGACTCTCGCACTCAAGGAATGTGAAGACCCCATTTTGGCGCATGTTCCTCTACATTGTGCGCAGCCTTCTCCTGCTTTCTACGCGGTTGGAAAGCGGAGGAGGGACGGCTTCTCTGGACTCGATCTCTCGCCTATGGACGACGGCGGTCCCCTCTCTCCAAAGGCGAATGCTTTCAGTATTGCCTCTCTGATTTCGGCTGCAGAGCAAGCAGGAAACGCGGCGTTTGAGAAACAGAGCACCGGCCTGGACAAGCCAGACCTGCATAACCACAGCTCCTATAAAATGCACTACAGCACTGTCACCCGGGAAATGGAAGGTAAATCACCCTGCTGATGCCCGTAGAGCTGCTGTAGCATGTGTACGCGTTTGAACTGACACAACACCCGAGAATCTGCTCGGTTAATCGAGATTTTCAAAGCGCAAAACCACATTTGAAATGCATGAATGAAGTTAGAACACATTTATTCTGGCACAGCTGTTGAAATATAATGCAATTCAGTCCTAGTAGTGACAATCGGGGAGAAGTCTAAACACAGAGCAACAACAGGGGTGGAAGAAAAGTTTCCAAAACCCAAAAGTGTTGAACAAAAAAAATCTACTTTATTCGTAGCGAGGATCACATACATAAAACACGAGACCAAGAGGCGGAGGGTTTACATGGGCACCCTGTGAGTAATGGTAAAAAACAGAGCATAATGAGCATATCCAGCTCGGAGAGGGTGAACATCCAGTCCATAGATCTATTTGTCCAATAACGAGAAAGCAACAGTCACCTGCTGCCTATTTGTTTGTTCATGTGTGTTTACCTTGTAAACCGTTTACTCTCCTCTCTGCCGGGCACATCCTCTATTGTTTGCTAACGGGGGGTGTTGTGGGCGATACCTTATCCAAAAGTTAAATGAGTGCCGGAAAGCCCATTAAAAAGGGGCGCACTTCACTGTCAATCAGTCTCGTCCCAAGGCGAGGAAACGGCACATTACCTGCAGTTCCTTATCTAAATAGAAATAAGAACCGGTTTTATCGCAAAGGGGAGGCCCTCTGCGTCAGATAAGAGAGGTGACTGGGTTGCAGTGTAACACACTGACGCAGAGCACAACAGAGGCGGAATCGATCCGCAGCAAACACTCACTCACACGAAGCTCGTTTCTGCGAGCAGCTTTCACCGCAGGGTTTTGGAGACATTTCGTCACTATTCGGACTCTTTTAGATCAGGCACACTGTAGCATGCTGGATGCAACCTCAGGGATTATTGAGCAGCCGAGACGGAAACCTTTAAACCGAAAGGGGTGCATTTGTGTGTGACATCTGCACCTGGAGATCACTGTTTTTACTTTCTGTATAACCGAGAAAAAGTGCACGGCATATTTAGTAAATCCAGTCTTTTGGGATGATTTCAGCCATATCCAGTCCGTGGCTGACGCAGCTGTCCCATTTTTGCGATGTTGCAGCCTTCACGACGAGCAGCCTGAGCAGCCTCAACACGCCGGGGGGCTACCACCTCTCCCCGTCCCCCGGGGACCCCTACAGCCAGCATGAGGCCCACTTCGAGCCCTGCCCGGCCGCCCAGCACAACTACAACTACCCGGGCTCCAACCCGGGCCAGAACCCGCAGAGCGACGGGGGGACTCCCAACTGCTCCTCGTCCTCCAACAACTCCACTCCCAACGGAAAAACCCTCGTGAAGAAGAATCCCAAAGTGGCCACCATTAACGTGCAGCTGGAGATGAAAGCTTTATGGGACGAGTTTAATATGCTGGGCACGGAGATGATCGTTACCAAGGCGGGCAGGTGAGCACCAAGAGTTATTATTCCCTTAATGCATGTGTGGGCACACGAGAAATAATGCAGAGCAGATTAAAGGATTTAATCTAACAAAAATACCAATATTAGCCGAGTTGATATCCTGCGTAAAGGAGCAACCATATTCAAAACGTTTGGTTTTTAAATATAAAATGTAAATTTAAATTAGATATAATAGCACATATAGGGATAAAGTTGATTTTTTTTTTTTAAATATAAAGGTTTAGCAGTTTCGTTTTTTGGAGTTCATAACGGATAACCCCTTTGTTTAGCTGTTAACACAAAAAGATGTCTTACATTTTCGTTTTTCTCATTTCATTTCAAAAATTGAAAATATATTTTTGTATTGATATATGGCTTCTGAAACATGAAAAACAACATATATGACTTTCTTATTTCAAAGGGCTCATGTCTCAGGAACAATTGTATTACATTTGAGCAGTAATAAAGTCCTATTTTTCTTGCACATAATGCCCAAAAATGCCAATTAAATATCGGATGAATTAAATTCACGTGCAAACATCGGAGGGTTTGTCTTTATAACATATTTTTAATTTAAAGCTGTGGTTCAGGCCTGCTGCTGGATATGTGTTTAATTCGAGGTCAGAAGCATGGAGGCGTGTGTGTTGTCTTGTGTTGTGTGTGTCAGCTGTAAACACCACGCCGTTTTTTTGATCCAGCAGGGATATTGTTTGTGGCCCTCGGCTGGTTTCCTTTACAGTCTCAGGTTTACGCACCGCTGCTATACGGAACATTATGGCCTTTAATCTGAGGGTCTTTGCATGTGTGAACGGAGATCAGCCTCTCTAAACTGATCAGAGAGCTGCACTCGTGTTTTTACTCGGGCCTCGACACGTGTTTTTTATTTTTATTTCCTCGTTCCTCTGAATGCTTCCCTCTCACGCTCAAGAAGTGGATGTAAAACTTGAATTAACACACAAATCTAGTTTGATTTTGTTATAAATTGTCCATTATAATATGTTTTTTCTTATGATTTCCAAATGGTGATGATATGATTTGTTTGCCTCATAAAGATGTTTTGCCTTTTAGTTTTCCAAATGTTAAAACAATCTTTTTTTAATTTGAAAATGTCTAAGTTATGCTATCCCTTGTTTGCATCTGAAGGGCAATAATATTACCATATTTCACCTTTGACCTCGTTTGGAGAGCCAATAAAATGCTACACTAATGTTAAGCACTATTTTTTGTTAACCAGTAAACAGTGAACATGGCGCGTAAAAGCGTCTCCAAATGCCTTCCTGACTTTATCCTGTAGTATCGTAATATAAAGAGGCATGAGATAATTGATCTAATCCTGAAAGTGAGGGTTGAGTTTCTGACAGGAGAAAGCAGATCTGCAGCAGAGCACTTTAAAGGCTCCTTCAGCCTCACCTAGCCACAACACGACGTTAATTGAGCGTTGATTTTAGGATCCCTTTCACTGACTCTGCGGATTACTCAACTTTCAACCCGTGTTCTTAGGGGATATGGATCTGCCCTGTGTAGTTATCTAGATAAGATGGAGGAGAAAAACAAATGTTTGTGGTCATGGCCGCTAAACGAGCCCCTACATCTCCAAGAGCGATGCAATCCACTTTGTTGGAGACAAAGCAGACACGTGATTGCAAATACATTTAAATAGGAGAGATATAGAGAGCACTGCCTCCAGATGATTCCATGTTTTTTCATACAGACACAATTCTGGATATTTGTTGGAACATTAATGACACCTCGTCTATACCTATTACGCGCATGTTATAGCCTATTTCCACTACATGTGTGTAGGTAGCCCTTCATGTGTCTGGAATGCGTCAAATCAGCAGAGAAGTTAACGAGTATTTCCACGAGTTGCGAAAGCGGAGCTAAAAAGGCAACAAACCCAAAGCTCCATTCAGATGAAGGAGAGTTGTATCTGGTTACGCACGGACGGGATCACGTCATGTCCAAAAGCTCGGAGCTCATGTCTTCCTGTTGCTCGGGCCAAATGAAGCTCAGCAGGTCGGGAACTGCACGGCCCTCTGACTTTGTACAAAAAACATTTGGCAAAAATAATTAGTTTACTCCTGTGACGAATTCCATTCATTTCTAACAGTTGAAAAGCACCGTTCACACACTGAGGATCCAGTTTTCTGAATACTGAATGTGAGCACGTGAAGGCAGCCAAAGCAACAAGCCTAACAGTCGGTCTGTGCTTTTCCTTTTCCAGGAGAATGTTTCCAACTTTCCAAGTGAAAATATTCGGGATGGATCCCATGTCAGACTACATGCTGCTGATGGACTTCCTGCCCGTAGACGACAAACGTTACAGGTAACTATTTGCAAAACTGCGCAAACATCGGACACTGCAGGAGCGTTAAAATTGGACTAGTCCGAAATATTTTTTGGCAAGGTGCACAACACGTACTTTGCACTACAGTGGTACATTAAGCAAACTAAATTTGAAATAAATAATACATCGGAAATAAATATAGCCTAAGCACATTTATAAACATTTCTAAAGTGAACCGATTCATACTAGAAATATGTTGGTGACTATTGGAGACATATTCGCTATCATATTTGTTATGTTATGAGGCATATTATAATTTCTGAATAGCTTCTGTTTGTGTATCTCATGTCAGCACATGCATTGACATTTAAGGCAACACTTTTATTGATGATGTGGGAACATTTCTAATTGTAGATGTTTCCATCTCTCAGGTATGCTTTCCACAGCTCCTCGTGGCTGGTCGCCGGTAAAGCGGACCCCGCCACGCCGGGCAGGGTGCACTACCACCCGGACTCTCCGGCCAAAGGCGCGCAGTGGATGAAGCAGATTGTCTCTTTTGATAAACTCAAGCTCACCAACAACCTGCTGGATGACAACGGCCATGTGAGTACACTACTGGGAATGAATCCATGCAACAACAAAAATAATAATTATAGCCTAAACACACACACAGTAGGCAGAAGTAAAGTTAATGTCGACAAAAGAGAGTTGTCATGCAAACGGCCTAAAAACATCACTACGGGAATAACTATTAATACTCGACGATTTAATTCACTGTATTTATAGTTTGTTTCTTCAAATGTAAGCACCAAGTACGATTCACCTACAACCTCAGAGGTCGAAAAATACCGTGATGCATAAACTGTAAACTCATTGAATTAACGTTACTGTGAAGGAGAGGTTTGGCCCCCTCAAATTGATTAATACGGGTGATTATACAATAACACAACTTGTTATTTGGACTAATAGTCCGATGTGGCCAAAAAGCTTTTCTCACTCCACAAAATGGCTCAGCAAATCAGACTTTGCTCCAAAAATGACGGAAAGAAAGTAGAATATTTAATCATTGATGGGAATTGTTTCACCCTCGCGCTGGATCTTCCTCTCTGAGTGATTGTTGTATTAGTTTTACCGGCGGTAAAGGCTATTTTAGATTATAGAAATGGTTGGAAAAGCCCATCATCACATGGAAATGTGGCTATATCGAGACGATGATGTGCTGATATCATTAGTACCACATGGTCTTTATATATTAAGAACAATGTCTGAAAATGTAACGGGAGCGTCAGGTTATTTCTGTATACAATGGTATTTACCAAATCGCTTATTTGTGTATCCACACATACGTTTTACAACGTCACATGCGATTATTTTTAACCATTCTAACTCGTTTTGTTTTCAAGATAGTTTATTAAAAATACATTTGTTGTATGTTATCCAACCAAGATATATTTATTCATTTGATCAGTTTTTCCATTTTTTTATAATCGAAAATAGTCTTACTGAGTTTCAGGAGATCGTTCCTTCAGTGCTGATTCAAGATTCAAAGGCTCTATTGTCATATGCAGTGTATTTATGAACATCTTAAGTCTCCAACAATGCAACCTAAATATATGTAAGACATAAAAGAATAATATGATTTATTTTTCCAGATCATCCTGAACTCCATGCACCGATACCAGCCCCGGTTCCACGTGGTCTATGTGGACCCTCGCAAGGACAGCGAGAAATATGCCGAGGAGAATTACAAGACTTTTGTTTTTGAGGAGACCCGCTTCACAGCAGTCACAGCCTACCAGAACCACCGGGTAAGAGACCTTATACCCTGTGTGAAAGAAACGTGGGGTGGTGTGCAGAAACTGACCATATTCTAAAGGGGCTTTACCTTAAATGTAACATTAATGGATTAAGTTGAGTGATACCATGAGAAAACAATACCATAAAAAGGTCACTTTTAACTAAAATATTAATAATTGATATTGATTGTGCTTTTTCTTTGGATAAATGCATGACCGGATAATCCTACGAAAATCAAAATGTCTTCTTATGCGCGCTTTTTTGTTTTGCGTAAATGTTGCCTTTACTCTGCGCCTAGCTGTTCTGCATCGCTCATTTTTTCCATCAGACTTGAGGTCTGTTTAGATTAACACATGAGTGCATTCAGCAGTTATTCAAAGCGAGTCTGACGAGTGAAACTTTGGAATAAAATGTGGCTGCTATCAGAAAAGTAATGTGATTGGTTGCGAGGCTAATAGTGATTGGAATACACTGCAAACACTCCTGATCCTGCTAAGACTAACCATCTTCCTATACCTAGTCAAAACATTCTAACTGAACTTGTTTTGAGAATAATGAGAGCTGCTTGCGTGAGATGATGACGTTTGTTTATAGAAATCTTATTTCAATAATTACTATTATATCTCACACTTGATTCAAGTCAACTCAAATCTAATGATGTCTTAAGATGGACGTTTTTTTGTATTTCCATGGTCGCACTGTGAACAGGAGATACAATAACTTTGTCCTTTTTATATTAAATATGACACAATAATTCATAATGTGACTCATGAAGTGAGAACATGAAACATATTAACATTTGATTTGAATCTTGAACAATTATAATTGTGTAACATATCACTACTAATTATTTAGGACTGTGCATGAATGGAGATCTACAATTGAGATACTTTGCAGCTCCAAAGGTTACAAAATAGTTCAGAAATAAATGCTAAATAAGCTTTATATTAACTGGCAGTTATATGAATTCACATGTGTTTTAAATAACATGAATGGACATGATGCTGAACAGCAGACCTGTAAGATTTCTCAAATATTATTAAAAACAAAGCGTTGTGTTCAAGATATGGACAGAAGAGCTTTCCAATCCAAAATGGCCAGCCCCATCATGCTCCTCTACCACAGCTGGGATTTCTAATAGGAATCAAATGCAATGCCTTCTCAGAATTACTTTGTGTACGAGTGCACTGAGGTTTATTTGATGTTCTGGATTTCAGATCACGCAGCTGAAGATAGCCAGCAATCCCTTCGCAAAGGGCTTTAGGGACTGTGACCCAGAGGACTGGTGAGTGTGCTCTCAACATAAAGCCCGCTGGCATGTTTCCACATGGTGTAGAAATGTTCAACACAGCACAGAGTGCATTTGCAAAATAGTTTGGCTGTTTGTCCAATCTCACACAGTTGCCAGATGGGTGGAGTTTGCCATAATAACCGCAATGTGTGCCATGACATTTACAAATCAGGGCATATTGTTTGGAAGTCAACGGACCATGTTCTCCTGTCAATGGCTAATTACCACACACTCGTAATTGTAACAATAAAATAAACCACACCCAACTGCAAAACACAACGCACAAACGTATCCAAACGCTGCTCATCCACCCCGGCAAATGTATTTTTTCCTCGGAGCATTGAGTAAACAGATCACGCTAAGGTTTATGGGAATGTTTTATTAGTTTGCAGAACGGGCCAATCTGAGTCATGTAATAGGTGGCTTCGTTTATTGTACATTTGGTTGCCTGTCAATGTGTTGAAGTGAATTACATGTAAACATGTAAACTCTTAAAATGTGCATTCATCATTTTAATATATAATAAATACATGGTGCCTTTTGACATTCATTAACTGAGTGTAACTGAATCCTCTTTCTCCCTGCTCCAGGCCCAGGAATCACAGACCAGGCTGTCTGCCAATAATGAGTGCCTTTGCCAGAACAAGAAACCCAATGTCGTCCCCGCCTCCGCAGAACGGCTCTGAGAAAGGTCTGCAGCTCGCTCTTTGTTTCATCTCACAACTCTGCTATCAAATATAAACCATATTCATATTAAGTTATTCAGCCTTTAGAGGAAATGGTTTTCTTTTCATTTAGTTTCATTAACTTCAGCACAATGCTGCATTCACGGTCCAAGTCAACCACTACTATAGTACAGGGTATTGTGCCATCATACCAGATGATAGATTTATAATCAGTAAAACCTGCAATAAATAATACTTTTTCTTGACATCAAATGTATTTGTTTATTAGTTTAATAATAATCATTAGTTTCACCCTGGCTTCAAACAACCTGTAATCCATCAGAAGGGATTCTATAGCTTTGATTTATAAAAAAAACAAAACTATTTTGATTTCTTCATGCATCATTTTGAGTGTATTTGCATGCATTTTTTGGACAATAACAGATGTTAGTATATGATCATTTGTTGACATATATAATATCTATCTAAATACTGTTTGACCTTGAGAATAATATAACAAATACTAGTCATTTTAGGGGTTTTAAATTGTGAAATTAGAATTGTATTATCAGTACCCCCTGCAATCTGTTACTGGCTTAAATTCAAAACCAGGGATGATTCAGAAACCCATATATGTTATGGGGTGCAGAACTAAACACACACACACATACACATATATACACACACACACACACACACACACACACACACACACACACACACACACACACACACACACACACACACACACACACACACACACACACACACACACACACACACACACACACACACACACACACACACACACCACACACACACACACACACACACACACACACACACACACACACACACACACACACACACACACACACACACACACACACACACACACACACACACACACACACACTGTTTAGGAAAACACACACAGCCTGCTGGTATTCACAACACATTGGCTAGCTCTGACTGTTTTCTCCTGTCTTTCATTAGAGGACAGCAGGAGGGAGTACGAGCGGGACCCCAGCGGCACGCCCATACACGGAGACCCGGCCCACCAGCTGATGTCCCGGGTCCTCAGCCCCGCCCTTCCCGTCCCGGGGGGCCTCCACGGCGTCTCACTCTCCAGCGGCAGACCCAGCCCCCCCCACGACCTTCGCCAAGACCCCCACGGTCTCCCGCCGGACACCCTGCACCACCACCCCTACAAGTACCCCACCACCTACGAACACTACCTGGGAGCCAAGACCCGGCCCTCGCCCTACCCTTTACCCGGCATCAGAGGACACACGTACCACCACCACATGAACCCAGCCACGGCTAACATGTACTCAGCCACCAGCGGCCCCTCTAACTATGACTACGGGCCCCGGTAAGGGGCGATGCATTGTGGGAAATGGAAACAGGAAAGGCAACACAGTCCTGTCTATTGATGGCAACCTGTGGGGTGCGTCCACCGCCTGAAACTCTGCTGGATAAACCCCGTATTTATTTAAAGGAAATGCATCTCTGCGCTAAGCACCTGCTCTGAGTCCTTTCAGAGGCCTGCTTTGACCTTTGAACCCGAATGGGAAAAGCTCCACGGCGAGCGGTGCGGACATTGAGCCAGAAAACAGAGGAGGCAGGAGGGACCTCTCCTTAACACGGACAATACCTTTGATCACAGACTGGAATTGAATTTTTTTTTTGTGTTGGATGCACTTTTTGATTTGTTTGTATTGCTTTCAAAAAAGCCATATGTTATATAGTACATCAACCTTCTAGGTAGACGAGATGTTTGCATGTTGAGCTCATCAGAGAGGGTGTCGAAACACACCCAAATGTTTTTGTTTGAGGTATAAAAAATAAACGAAATACAAGATTTGATTTTGAACATCTTGAGCCGCTCTGAGAAGCTTGTACCATGGCACTGACTTGCAGCAATTCAAAGTAAATAAATGAAGCAGAATGACTGTTCTGTATCTGTAAAATAAACATTAAATTCTTGTAATTCATAAAAATCTTTGAGCAGATCTTCCATTCAAAGCTTTGCCTGCTGTTGCACTGCTGACGGGGGAAATAAGCTTACCTCACTGAGAGCATTGTTCTGGTTTCTCTGACCGGATCTGCCCTGCTTCATTGGGTTGAGGTGTCTGTTGTTCCTGCAGTCGTTGGAAGTCAGGACCAGGAGGCTGTCTAAACATTAGCCTGCACTGTAGTTCAAATGTTGAAATCTGCAGCTGGTGCTATGAAAAAAAAGGAAGCAAAACACATAAATGCACTCATCGACCGTACACTTCTACACTTCCCTCTTGAATGTTCTGTTAAATTCTTACAGTGATTAATAGAAATAATCTAAACCAAGGTCATTTAAAACTGTATATTATTTTCAATGAATAAAATAAAATAGGAAAACTGCTAACGAGTGCCTGAAGTATAAGAGGGACAATAAAAAAGAAAATAACTGGAACACAAATACTTTTTTGTCATCTAAATGTCATGCAGCATTCTATTTTTGCAAAAGATTTTGTAAAAAAAAAACCACATTTTGAAAAGTGTCTTTTCAAAATCTAACTTCCAAGAAAAGAATAACCCGTCTTGTTATTGAAAGTTGAAAAAAGACAGACTTTTAATTTCCTCTCTCCCCGAAAGGATATCATTGGTCATATTTAATGACAGTTGGGTGATTTTTAAAGAACGTCACTGTGACCTGTGCGGCCATTTCCATCTCCTATTTGAAGTCCTATGAGAAATGCTTTGTTGTCAAGGTTAATCTCGTTGGGGGAAAACAGTCTGCTCTGGGATGTGTGTCTGTCACGATACAAAAGGAAACATTCCCTAATGATTCATTTCAATAATGTATTTTTCCTCCTTGAACCCAGCAGGGGAAGGATGCCTGAGGGCGCCTGACCTCTGACTGTTTAATGGCTTGTAAAGGTGTCAAAGGTTAAATAATGTTTCCACTCATTTAAACGCAGGCTAATTGGTTGTCGACTTTGTTGTTGTTATTCGGGGGCTGAGCAAAGCTTTTACTTTACAATGAAAGTATACTATGAAGGCAACTTAGCATCATTAAAAGATATCAAATAATCTAATTGGCCTACAATGTACTGTAACCATGCCCTCAGTGAGTGCTATTTTACTTAAAATTCAGGCATTCATAGAGTTTTTGTATCTCATTGCCTGGTTTGCGACATCTCCAACAGGCTTTGGTGCAATGTTTCAATGGCTTGTAAAAGTGTCAAAGGTTAAATAATGTTTCCACTCATTTTAACGCAGACTCATTTATTGTAAACAATTACATTTGTGCTTTGATTTGCAATTGAACTGAAGTCAATATGGAGAATGGCAGCATAAAATATCGATTTTAGCTACTTAGCATCATTCAAATATGTAAAATATAATGGGCCTACTTGACAAGCAGGTGTCAATTTCACTTTAGCTAATTATTCCCTCATAAAAGCACCACTTTATTTACAATTCAGAGGCATCAACAGTGTTTGTATTTAAACATCTGAGCAACATTTAGCTTCCCTTTGCTAAATATCCGACAGGCTGTTGTGAAGCTCCTTAAAGTAGTTTGTCTCTAATGTTAAAGGCTTATGTGTCAAAGGTTAAATAATGTTTCCACTCATGTGGAAGAAGAAGAAGAAGAAGAAGAAGAAGAAGAAGAAGAAGAAGAAGAAGAAGAAGAAGAAGAAGAAGAAGAAGAAGAAGAAGAAGAAGAAGAAGAAGAAGAAGAAGAAGAAGAAGAAGAAGAAGAAGAAGAAGAAGAAGAAGAAGAAGAAGAAGAAGAAGAAGAAGAAGAAGAAGAAGAAGAAGAAGAAGAAGAAGAAGAAGAAGGTTGGGAAGGTGACTAAAGCTTTTACTTTGCAATAGAACAATATTATGTTGTCACTATGGGAAATTAAGTTTTAATATATCCTGAAAGGTCTATTCTATGTAGCATCATTAAAATAACACTAATATGCCCATTTGACAAGCAAGTGTCAATATGTAGCTAACTAGTCCCTAATTTAACGTACATTTAGTTAAAGTTAAGTCATAATAAGCCCAACAAGGAAACACACAAATATAACTTCAACAAATCTGTACTTGCCCATAAACATGGCCCTCACAGCCTGTTCAGTGTCGCTGTTGTTGCCCCTCTCGTCTGGTCAGGAAGCCGCCTGTGGAGCACCGTCGCCGGCCTGCAGGTGCCGAGGAGAGCCGGGCGGAAGTCCAGAAGCAGCGGGAGACGATAGTGAGTTTATCGGTGTTGTGGAAGAGTCAAAAAGCGACATGCGGACTAAATATAGGTTTCACAACGCAAAGGAAACATTACTGGCACTGCTGATGCACAACCGTTTTAGTACAGTCTGTCTAAAGCAGGACGACTGACATTAGCATGGCAAATCTTTACCGGTAAACAATCAAATGTACAATATTTTGCATTAAATAAAAGGATTAAATTAGAGTAGAGTAAAACTACCTCAGATTTTAGTTACATACATGAGTAATATCTCACAGCCTCTTCGTTCTCTCACCACCTGCTCCATTAAGAGTGGTCCAAATGTTATCTAAACCCAATCCAGCAATGAAAATGTCCTGCATATGTTGCATTCTTAATAAATGGTGTCCCTGGTGGAGTATGCATCAGTCTAAGACTTGACATTGAAGCCTGAGGGCCGACCTCATTTTGTAACCCTGTCCTACAGTCTTAAGGGACCATATATACATATAGACATTCAAATAAAGCACACGCGAGTCATTTATTGTTTAGCACCTTAATTAAGCTTCATTATAACCTACTGAATAAAGTTGTTTTATAGGCTAAGATTACAGATATCTTTAATTATTGTGAAGTAAAAAATGTTTGTTGCAATCAGTGAAACTGCGCCTACTGAAGGAATGGTCATGAATTGCAACTCAATACCATCTTATATTATCATTATAAAGCGTACATTGGAATATTTTACCACATTAAATTTCTTGACGTGCTTCGGCATGCTTTCAACAGGCCATTTTCAGACACAGTATTTCAATCAGTCCATCGTTTCACACGGAGTAAAAGAGCAACCCGCTCAGTTACAAAACTGTGCCCAGATGTCTCAGACTCACGGAGAAACAGTGCCAAGGACTTGCCAGTGAAGTATGGAGAGGCAGAGGATGGATGATAATGCAACCTAAAGCATCCGTTGACACCCAGCTGCATCTGGAACATCTGTAGTGACCGGCCTATCAGGGTCTCCATTAGTTCGCTCCACCTCTGTGTACATTTCTGCTGCCTCCCTGCATGAAGAATCTGGGGACAGTTATTAAAAACAAGGCAGGTAAACCAATCAGAGTCCTGTACCTAAACCCCCCCTCTAACCATGGCCTCTCAACTAATACAAAAGGTACTAGGGTTTATGGTGTGTATGAGGCTGCTGACGGACATTTTATACAGAACATCAAAACACATCATCACCACCGGGCAACAGACTTAATACATTTGTATTAAGTCACATTTGAAAAAATAAATAAAACCAACTTAGCCGTGAGGCGGAACATTGGTTTTGGCTTCTACAGACGGGATTATTTTCCTCAACCATTCATTTAAAATAATCAGGCTCAGTGTGACGTCTCACATGTCCATGAATGCACCCAAAGGCTCAGGGAGTAAAGGCATCCACCACACACACACTCACACACCAACACCAACACCAACAAAAGGCAATGGATAATGTCCGATCCCTGAGCCAGGCTGACCTCTGACCCTCAAGGCCAAGGAGGACACACGTTAGGTGATAAGTGAAGCACGGGGGCTATTGTGCACACGGTATCCCTGTCCATTTATTGACTTCCTAAATGATCCATTATGAAGTGATTTATGAGGTCCACCGCCACCCCAACAGGCACTTCTAAAGCCAGCCGGTTGCCGTCTGCTCCAATGGATTCAGCATTTGATTTATCAGAGAATGGACGGAAGCTGGCCCACGCCACCACGAGTGTTTGTTCAAAGCCAACATGAGAGTTAGGAAGTTAGTATGAATGCGACATGTCACCGGCGGGGTCAGACACAAAAGGTGGAGCTGGAGCTCTGCGGGTAACAGGGACAACGTGTCATTAAAACCAGCCAGAGAAAAAGGTCTTATTCCAGGGGTGTCCAACCTTTTTTACATACAGAAAAATATAAGAAGGGCTGGGCCGCTCACTAGAGGAGAGGTTTAGTGCCTCATAAGTTCAGTTATAAGTTAGCAAAATCAATCAAATGTAGGTACATGATGCTCGTGAGTGTTGGCAGCTCATCCCTTAAAACAGAAGATTGATTATAATAAGGAGAAATAGGAAGGGTGTATTTCAAGCTTGTTATGGAAATAAGTCATTGGGCTTTTTTCTTATCAACTTAGAAAATGTTTCCAACTTTAATCGACTGAATTTAGTGGTCGTATTAACACATGAATACTACGGTGTAATATATTTTCACATTTATAGTTAAGAAGTACAATATAAGACAAGCACAAGTTGCTTTTGTGGGTCATACTCCATTATACTTTTTGAATTTGCTGAGGGCCGATTCAAAATGGGCCGTAGTTTGGACACCCAGTGTTTCCCATACATTGATTTAATTGTGGCGGGCTGCCACAATTAAATATCGTCCGCCACAAATGGATCTCATAAAAAAAATAAAAATGATTATTCTTTTTTTTGTTTTGTTGGTGGTCTAATCAATGGATAGTGAGGTGGGCTGATGATCGGAAGGTTGCGAGTTCAAATCCTGCCTGGAACACCGCTACTAGTATGCCCTTGAGTAAGGCACTTAGCCCTCGGTTACTCCAGGGAGAATGTCCCTGTAATTGGTCATTGTAAGTCGCTTTGGAATAAGGCGTCTGCTAAATGCCTACATTGTAAATTATATTTTTGGGAGAATAAACCCCACAGATCCTCAACTCCGGTGTGTCTCACTCATTAGCAACGCAACACAGAGCAACAAGAACGTTGTCTACAGTAGCCATGAACTCGCATGTATTATCTTATTTGATAACCCAAATTGGTAAAGGGGCCTTTGGCTTTTCTTACCGGGGGGGTGGGGGGGTGCGGTGGCCCCACAAATATAATCAAATTCTGTGGGAAACACTGGACACCCCTATCTTATTCCATGAGTTTTTTAAATGATACCCAAAAAAAAAGGGAATTCAACAAGTTATGAGCACAGAAACAACTCATACAAAACAAGAATTTGATCCAAGCAACCAAAACTGCAGCTATTCTCTTTCCCCCCCCAGTGGCAGTAGCGTCACAGCTAGCGAATGACCTTGTCTTTCCTCTGTTCACTAATGATTCGGGGCCATTATGCTGGTCTGGCCCTTTGATTTCTCAGGCCCTTCCTGTACAGCATGATGAGCTCTTCAACTCGGGGTCATCCCAGGAGACGAAGCCTTTATGAAGCAGAACGTGCAGCGTTTGAAGCCCCCGGCCTCCCAACGCATTGCTGTAACACATGAGCTCCCATGCTGCTCGTTGACTCAGAGATATTATTAGAGACAGAAAAACAACACCTCTCTATTTTCTCTGGGACTTTCACAACAGGACCACCTTTGGCCTTGTTCGTGACAAATGTCTGTTTCTTAAAAATACATCTGTATAGAAATGGCCGACACAGAAGTTAGCATCACAAGGGCTTCTTCGACAACATTTTATCAATTGGATTTCGGTATATTGCAGGATAAAAGCTCTGTGGCCAACACACGTTTATGATACTTAACACATTTCCTTCAGCAGGATAATCTCCACATACCAACACCACTTGTATGATTTTTAAAGGGGAAATGCAGTTGCCAGAATTAAAAAGCTAACATTAGGTTACAAACCGATGTATTATATCACGGTCACTTTATATCACAACCGCTAAGCTAAAGGTGGCTAATATTCAGAGTGCTGGTGTTTGTTAGTCTCGTTTGGTAATATTTTACCAACTGTCGTTGTGTTATGTCGTAGAACAAAATAAGCTTCAATATATTAACAGTGTGTACACCACAGAGCTTATTTCAGGCATTTAAACAAAAAAACGAATTCAAAAACCATTGACTTTAAGACGAGGGAACCAGAAGTGGGGAAATGCCAACTCTTTTTCGGTTTGTAAGACTCATTCCTGCACCACTCTATATGGCATTGAATGTGAAGTAGATGTAAAAGTTAACAATCATTTCATTCCATATGCTTTTGATCACCCTTACAGATGATACCAAAACATATCTCTTACTTTACCCCCTTACTTAATTCTTTAACTTGAGATTTCTTCAGTTTTCTGACATTTTCCATTAACAAAGAAGTAGTACTTGTTAAGAAAATAAAACCAGCTCATACACAGGTAACACTGACCACAGAGAGCCTCTGCAGATCACCAGAAACCACTAAACCAACAGCCCTGTTCCTTATGTCCCTGCTGTGATTAACCTTGTTTGACAAATACAGCCCAGGTCAGGCTGTGTGTTAAGCTAAGAGCTGCTAGAATAACAACACACGATTACAGAGCTGCTCAGGTGCGCTCTATACCTCAAATTCAGGTCCACTGGAGCAAATCTCCATCAGATAAGTCAACACAATCACATAGTTGCACACAGCATCACAAAGGCTTCAGCAAACAGGGGCTGGAAATAGTGGTCAACAAGAGCCTCGTGAACTATTTGGAATAGATGGGATATTTCTGTTGGCTTCACATGTTCTGCCTGTCTATATATCCAGCTGCCATAGGTATGTATTTTTTTGTACGCAATGGAAATACTGTATAATGTATTGACGATAACATTGTGTAACACATGCTTGAGAAAATCGTATTAAAAAAGACAACTATATGCCCGACGTACGCTGTGTTAACAACAACCTACCAGAGTTAACAAGGTTTTGCTGTTCTAATATCACACATGTTGACCTTCATATTTCTGATGTTAACTGTACACATTGTTTGGGAAATGGCATTTAGATTTGTTGATGAAAGAATAGTAATAAACATTATAAAACAAAATCAGGGATGGTTGTGTAGTATCTTGAAATCATTTAAGGACACATTGAGAACATATTAGTAGCCCACCAATATATTTATCAGTTTTTCTTTTTTTATTACTCCTCATTGCCTTAATCACCAAGTCACTAAAGTCAGTTGTTGGGTCCAAGCAGAGGCTACAATTGTTATGAGTAATAGTCACATACAGTATATCTTTCCCATTATAGTCCATCTGCATCTCTCTCTGAGTTGAGAAAGTTGAAGAAGGCGGTGGTTTTATGACAAACAATGAGTAAAACATTGTTATATAAGGGCATTGCTTCATTGCCCTGAAAAGCTGCCATTTTGTTCACCGACACCATTCAGGGTCACATTAAAATCAGTAGAAAGAACTGATTAAGAGTCCATAGATCCTCCCAGAGCTTTGAGGTTCAGCCAGTGTCCGCCCCCTCGTTGAATATGGACCACAGGCTGATGCGCTGGTCTTTGGATCCAGCAGCCAGCAGTCTCTGTCGGGGGTCCTGGTGGTCAGAGAAGGCCACGCTTAGCACCAGGTCGGTGTGGTACTGAAGCACGGCCAGCGGTCGCAGCTTCTTCCACCCGAATATCCGCACCCGATGGTCCCAGCCCGCTGATGCCAGGAGTTTACCGTCACCCCTGACACACAGCTGGGAAACCCCAGGGTTGACCAGCGTCACAGAGTCCTGGAGCTGCAAAACCACAGAGAGGAAAAGGATTTCAGCCGGGTAGAAAAACCACAGACATATTTAAATGTATTTGAAACTCTTTGACGAGTAGCACTTTCGTTGCGGTAATTGTCAAAGAAACCTAAAACCAAAAAGTATTAATGCAAATAAGGAGACAAAAATAATCAGACAAACTAATTAGGTCACCGAGTCGATTAATCACTGCCGTCTAGGAAACCGAGTCCAACAAAAACACCGACATGGAGAGCCTATCAGCTGATCTGATGACTGAGCTCTAAGTGTGAGTGTCTGTTGAAGCGCTGCAGACTCAATCATCGGCCATAAAACATCACGGCACGAGGGCAGCGAGCAGATCTCTCTGCGTACCGCTATTTGGTTTGGAGTTAGGGGAGGCCTGTTCTGGAAGCGGGGCATGGAGTTACCTTTGTCACAGTTTGCAAGAGAGACCGTCTCGCTGAAATGCTTGTTTGCAGAGGCCTTGTTGCTTTAAACGCCTCTGATGAATTACAGTCGCACTGAAAGGTCCGGTCAGCGGGAGAAGAGACTCCGATAAATACACCGTTGTCGCGTCTGCCTGTGAAAGATTAGCCACAGCTTCCTCTCGCCGTGTCCAAGAACTGTATCAATCTCTCTAAAAGGGGCAACTTTCTGACATATTATAATGAATGGTGGCGGAGATCACTATCTAAAGGCCTGCTGTGGAGGGCATTCCTGGGGAGAGAACGTGCTTTTCCTGCAAGCTAGGGATCTCTGCAGGACCTGTAGATGGGACACAAACATCTGGATCTGGGAGCTGAAATCAAACTGGACAGCGTATAATTGACTTCATAAGCTGTGTCTAGGGAGACTAATGGCCTGCGATGGGAGCAGACGGTGGAGAATTTATCTGCGTGCTCCTGTTCCGGGCAGGAACCATCCACGAGCCGCATGTGGAAGATATAAGCCAGGTACTCATGGCCCAAGTGGATAACGTGGAATGCAACAGAGAGGAAAGGCAGGGAGGAATGCCATTGATCAAAACAGAGCGAGCTGTGCAGCGTTTTAAATCTGCACCGCGCTCCACTTCGAATATAACATTTGTCATATTTTATGGTACTCAGTTTCTTACAGATTTACATTTTGTGTAAATATTGTGTTTATTTTTTATTTGTAACAAAAGTATTTTAAAATAGTACTATTTCTTGCTCCTTTCTTAAAAAAAACAACCATATTCTTCTTTCTGTGTACCATTTACGCATATATATATATATATATATTTTCTTTAACTTTTTAATGCTATTTTATTTCTATTTCAGAAATATCTTTTGACCGTTTATTCCTTGTGTCTTTAATTTTTCTCTTATGTACATTGCCTTGTTTTTGTATGCTACCTACCTACCTACCTACCTACCTACCTACCTACCTACCTACCTACCTACCTACCTACCTACCTACCTACACACCTACCTACCTACACACCTACCTACCTACACACCTACCTACCTACACACCTACCTACCTACACACCTACCTACCTACACACCTACCTACCTACACACCTACCTACCTACACACCTACCTACCTACACACCTACCTACCTACCTACACACCTACCTACCTACACACCTACCTACCTACACACCTACCTACCTACACACCTACCTACCTACACACCTACCTACCTACACACCTACCTACCTACACACCTACCTACCTACCTACACACCTACCTACACCAATTCCTCGTATGTGTCAACCTACTTGATAATAAAAAACGATTCTGGTTCTGAGCGAGTTCAGGACACGCAGTGATGGGGTTGCTTTTGTTTATCAAACCATCATCGCTGGTACCACTGGTGCGAAAGAGAGTGTGTCTGGTTCGACCAAACAACCAGATACACTGATGCAAAGAAACCCGGGGGGTGAAAGATTGTTTTGAGCTTTGTTATTACCTCAAGAAGTTGGTATGCCCCAACCGCTCTCCATCTGCTTTGCATTAGAGGCCTGATAATGATGGGTTTAAGTGTCTGTTTTTGTTTGTTTTGCTTCCCATAGTTTGTGTCCGGTAAAGGCATTTGTTTCATTAAAAGGTCAAACGTAAGCAGTAACTGGCTAATGATGAAGTAATGGTCGTTCAGCAGAGCCGGTGAAGTGATTTGACTTTCTACAGTGTGAGAACATGGAAAGTGGTGAGAACATAAAAGATTCTCCGGGGCTATATGTCAAATGAATGGGGCTTATAGGCTGGTTTCTAAGTGATATTTATTTTAGATGCCTAACACCCGTCATATTTAAATGTTAGTTTGTTTATTAACATTTTATGGTCAGTAAAATGTGTAAATACTTTATATTTCATTTCATCTAAATGCTGCTACCTCGGCTTTTATTTATTTGTGCCTATTTCTTACTGCAGTGAGAGACACTTACGAAATGTAGTTATACCCAAGTATGAAGCCAATATAGATATTCTGATATGACATTGTTTTTTTAAATGAACAATTAATTATTGAGGTAATTTTTTTAAGTAATAGTTAAACATTATGAACGCATTCAGACTTCCTGTTTCCAATGTTGTTGTGCTAAGCTAACTGGCTGCTTCCCATTGACCGTCATGAGAGCGGTAGAACCATCAACAAACTCTCGGGATGGAGGGAAAAGAGCACATACTGTTGGTGGAAGGGCTGCATTTGGAAACATTTACATTATCATTTAAAATGTATTGAATCATTATGGTGGGATTTTTTTTAAATGGCGTCTGAAACTAACAAGGACATTTTTAAAAGTCTGTAGAATTATATTTGTAGGCAAGGACTTCCCTGTAGCTCCACAAAGCTTAATTCAGATATGTTCACACATTTTGCCTTGCGATTTGGATACTGCACTCATCCACTTTGCTCAAATGTTGCAGCCCAAGTCGTGTGAATAACAAGCAATCTGAAGTCATCCCCTTGAGCGTTGGGAAAAATAAACAATGTGAAATCAATCCTCAGATAAATGGACAATAAAATGGAAGTTGAAGCCCATTAATTTGTCCTCAAAAAGTTAATGGATTTGTCATTTCAGTTCAACCTCATCCAGCAGCAGTGGTCTTGCCATCAGTACACACCATTATTACATGGATTTGCCATTAAACAGGTCTAACCGCAATAAAATCCAATGTCTCCATCGGGGGAGTCTCATTTAATCTGAAACCCTATTTTTTTGTTTAAACACTCCTTTCTCCCCTGTGTTACAGCATCCACACACACTCACACACACTCACAGCAAGCTTGTTTGGCAGCTGTCAGGAGGCGACCGCAGCTGGGCCCACTACACATCTTGCGGCCTCCGACAGATCCAACACAAACTCACACTTCGGGATCCTCTTTTGTAGCCTCTCACCGACAGAGGAGACGTTCAAAAGGAGCGTCCACTTGGCAGATCTCACTCAAGCCTCGCTCCACTTTTCTACCCCTCGCCTCTCCCCTCGGTCTTGGCGTTCACGCTCATCCACTGAAACGTCCAGTCATCGCTTACTCACTCGAGCCTAGCGGCCAGGAGGCTTTTCGCAGGTATTTCTGACACACCCTGTCCCTGAACCACACTGAGCGGCAGGGAGATTACAGCCTTTTGTCACCTCGCCTGTCAGAGCCTGGCTGAGGCTGACAGGAGATGGATGTGTCAAAGCAGACCCTTTCAGAAAAGACAGACAAAACGAGTTCTCAAGGAAGAGAGCTTTTATTTTTATGACGGCAGCTCAGACTTACATCAGTCCTTTAGCAGACTGAGGTTGATACGACCCGAATAACATGTCGGGTCGGATTCACAGGAGACACCATATAAGTGACCACTAGGTGAATATTTAGGAGACTTTGGGGATTTGTTTTAGAGAACTGTCATCAGTCTCAGAAGTAGCTCGCCGTCAGCCACGCTTGATTTACACTGCTAATCTCCCTCTGTCCATACCTGCATTCTGCAACCTTTTACTTTCACCTGAAGGAACACGTCGCTGCGCTTATCAATACATTTGAGTGGCCGCCTAAATATATGTTCATCTGGTTTAACAGCTTGTAAAGCCCCGACACCAATGCCCTTCATAATCTCACACTGACACATTCCCGAAACTGTAACACTAGGAAAGGAAAGGGAGAAAAAAGGGCCGAAGATGATGCCTCATCACTATGAAACGATATCAGGGCAGCCGGGTCAAACGGCAGATAAAGGCCTCTGGGAGCCATGTGTATTACATTAACCTCCATTCCTGAGGCTATCTGTCTTTAGCGGGGCTTGATAAGCTCACTTCACAGCCCCTCAGCTTCACTAAATCATCAATGCACTGGGTTGTGTCACATTCAGTTTCCCCTCCATTACACGAAAAGCATTTATCTTCCTCGCCGCTAAATTCAACGGTATCTCAGGGTTAATTTGTGGGAAGTGGGATGCTGTGGCACTTATAGCCTCCTCAGCCTCCTCAGCCTCCCACTGTGAACTACTGTTCCCTTTACTGCAGATGTGTTTTTTGTTTGGTTAAGGGGGCCTCCGAGGTTTTGATATTTTTATTACCTCTCGCGGGTCGTCCGTCAGGACTCGGGTCCGCAACCCGGCAGGTCCTCGCACCCCCCCCCTCCTTTCACTGCTGCCACACAGAAATACTTTTGTGGGAAGAAGTGAGGATAGCTGTCTGGACGTCACACTGAGCTGCACTACAGGATAATTTAAAAGCCCCTGTTGGATCTTTTCCCCTTCCTCGTGCTTTTTTCCTGTCATCGTCATCCTGGATTACACGCTGAATCAATATTTTGTTGCTTGAGCAAAATAAACCAAATAACCAATCTCCTCCTTTTTTTGGTATATTGAATCAAATGCTTCAGAGTGTTTTTCCAAACTCATTTTTAGGGTGAAAAGATTTGGGGCTTTGCAAATATTTCTAATTCAAGCATTCATTTGTAAAAAGACCTGGAAAGAATAATACCCCTCGACTGTGCAGGCGTGTACTATATCAGCCCCGGGTTCCCTTCTGCTCTGATTCATGGCCGTTGGCTGCAGAATGGGAGCATTCCCTTTTGCTCATGAAATCAAGAGAAAATACAGCTTCAAATGAGGCGTTCAGTCTCTGAGGCGTTCAGTCTCTGAGGCGCTGGCTGTTATCTCAAATGAATTACGGCACAAAGCTGATGCGTGGTGGGGCAGAAGATGCTCTGGAGTTGGCTTTAGTGTATTGTTTATTTCTTCGTGTGTGAGAACCATACAGTCTATGGTGAGAACCAGTGTGTATTGTGTTTTTAAGAAGTTTGTGTATCAATATTATCCCAGTTAACAGGAATAATGTATTATTTTAGTTTTTAACCGGGTTATAATGATATTTTTGTGCCGTGTTTGTCATCCTGAACTACTGTATATAATCCAACCCTAATGTGTGACTGTCAGTGTGTGTGTGTATGTGTGTGTGTGTGTGTATATTGTGTTTTTAAGAAGTTTGTGTATCAATATTATCCCAGTTAACAGGAATAATGTATTATTTTTAACTGGGTTATAATTATATTTTTGTGCCGTGTTTTTCCTCTAGAACTACAGTTTATAATCCAGCCCTAATGTGTGTGTGTGTGTGTGTGTGTGTGTGTGTGTGTGTGTGTGTGTGTGTGTGTGTGTGTGTGAGAGAGTGTGAGAGTGTGTGTGGGTGGTTTCAGTCTGGAGTGACAGCCCCAGCTCGGCCCTTGGCCCCTGGCCCTGCCATCGCTGTGTAACCAGCAGCTGATTTATGGCCCCTGCAGCCCCACTGAGCCTCTTCCTCTTCGGCCCCTGGTGTTTTCTAAGAGAGCCTCGAGAACCACAACTCTCCTCTGAACTCCTCTATTATCATGTTATGATATTATCATGTTATGATATTTCATGGCGCTGACTGTTGTGCAACAATTTGTTAGCATGTAGGGGGCGGAGGGCCTTAAGCAGGGTCACTTCAGACAGCACTTCTGCAGTTGTGAAGGTGTAATAGAAAGGATGGCAGAATAAAAACAATAACTACAACTCATTTCAAATATGTATAGCATATATGTATATATTTTTTCAAATATATCAAACAGTAATTGTGCTGCAACATGTCAATACTGCAAGTTACGATCGACAATGCCAGAAAACTAGTCAGCAAAAGAGCATAAAAGTATTAACAGTAAGCTTAGTATTATGGATACATAGTTTATATCGTTGCAAATAATAAATGCATGGTTGAATATACATAGAACATGTGTTTGGTTGAGTAAGGGGTGTAGCCCAAACACTAAAGCTAAAAAGAATGTTATAATGATAAAATAGATAGCTTAAAGTAATGGATTCATTTTATTGGTAATATCGTTAGAATTGGGTTTAAAAGGTGATTGAAAAATAGTTACAATAGTTAGCTAAAAGTAATGCATGCATGGTTGAACTTATTAGCTCTAAAAATGGTGCCTAAAGTATTTGCTAATGGTTAACATAGTTAGATTAAAGTAAACCGGGAGATACAAGTAACAAATACACTGCAAACATAGGTTTCCTTGAAGATATGGACAAATTGGTTAAAACAGGAAACACGACTGAATTTAAATGATTAATTAGTAAAATAGTACACAAATGTTTTTTCTAACCTTCAACAGATTTATGGTTTATTGATAGCTGTCATTATAAGACATGTTTAAAAATCATTAACACACAAAGGTTTTGGAAACATTAGAAAGCCTGCTGACCTGCAGGTTGTTCTGTCCGTCCAGCCTCCAGGAGCAGAGGTCCTTCTCAGAGGAGCCAGAGACGCCTCTCAGACACTGGGGGTCAAAGGTCAGGCACATGACGGGCTCAGGGTGGGCTTTAGTCTGGCTCAGCTGGGCCCTCTGGGTAACGTCCCACAGCAACAGGGAACCGTCCTCGTATCCGGCCAACAGGAGAGGTCCGGGGCCCGAGTCTGGCTGGAAGTCAGGAGGACGATAAGAGAGGAGTTTGGTCAGATGTTAGAGAAGTCAGGAGGACGATAAGAGGAGTTTGGTCAGATGTTAGAGAAGTCATGAGGACGATAAGAGAGGAGTGTGGTCAGATGTTAGAGAAGTCATGAGGGACGATAAGAGAGGAGTTTGGTCAGATGTTAGAGAAGTCAGGAGGACGATAAGAGAGGAGAGTTTGGTCATATGTTAGAGAAGTCAGGAGGACGATAAGAGGAGAGTGTGGTCAGAATGTTTAGAGAAGTCATGAGGACGATAGAGAGGAGAGTTGGTCAGATGTTAGAGAAGTCAGGAGGACGATAAGAGAGGAGTGTGGTCAGATGTTAGAGAAGTCATGAGGACGATAAGAGAGGAGAGTTTGGTCAGATGTTAGAGAAGTCAGGGAGGACGATTAAGAGAGGAGAGTTTGCCGAGGAGAGTTTGGTTAGATGTTAGAGAAGTCAGGAGGACGATAAGAGGAGTGTGGTCAGATGTTAGAGAAGTCAGGAGGACGATAAGAGAGGAGAGTTTGGTCAGATGTTAGCGAAGTCATGAGGACGATAAGAGAGGAGTTTGGTCAGATGTTAGAGAAGTCATGAGGACGATAAGAGGAGAGTGTGGTCAGATGTTAGAGAAGTCAGGAGGACGATAAGAGAGGAGTTTGGTCAGATGTTAGAGAAGTCATGAGGACGATAAGAGAGGAGAGTTTGGTCAGATGTTAGAGAAGTCAGGAGGACGATAAGAGAGGAGTTTGGTCAGATGTTAGAGAAGTCAGGAGGACGATAAGAGAGGAGAGTTTGGTCAGATGTTAGAGAAGTCAGGAGGACGATAAGAGAGGAGTTTGGTCAGATGTTAGAGAAGTCAGGAGGACGATAAGAGAGGAGTTTGGTCAGATGTTAGAGAAGTCAGGAGGACGATAAGAGAGGAGAGTTTGGTCAGATGTTAGAGAAGTCAGGAGGACGATAAGAGGAGAGTTTGGTCAGATGTTAGAGAAGTCAGGAGGACGATAAGAGAGGAGAGTTTGGTCAGATGTTGGAGAAGTCAGGAGGACGATAAGAGAGGAGTTTGGTCAGAAGTTAGAGAAGTCAGGAGGACGATAAGAGGAGAGTGTGGTCAGAAGTTGGAGAAGTCAGGAGGACGATAAGAGGAGAGTGTGGTCAGAAGTTGGAGAAGTCAGGAGGACGATAAGAGGAGAGTGTGGTCAGAAGTTAGAGAAGTCAGGAGGACGATAAGAGGAGAGTTTGGTCAGAAGTTAGAGAAGTCAGGAGGACGATAAGAGAGGAGAGTTTGGTCAGATGTTGGAGAAGTCAGGAGGACGATAAGAGGAGAGTTTGGTCAGAAGTTGGAGAAGTCAGGAGGACGATAAGAGGAGAGTTTGGTCAGAAGTTGGAGAAGTCAGGAGGACGATAAGAGGAGAGTGTGGTCAGAAGTTGGAGAAGTCAGGAGGACGATAAGAGGAGAGTTTGGTCAGATGTTGGAGAAGTCAGGAGGACGATAAGAGGAGAGTTTGGTCAGAAGTTAGAGAAGTCAGGAGGACGATAAGAGGAGAGTTTGGTCAGAAGTTAGAGAAGTCAGGAGGACGATAAGAGAGGAGAGTTTGGTCAGAAGTTAGAGAAGTCAGGAGGACGATAAGAGGAGAGTTTGGTCAGATGTTAGAGAAGTCAGGAGGACGATAAGAGGAGAGTTTGGTCAGAAGTTAGAGAAGTCAGGAGGACGATAAGAGGAGAGTTTGGTCAGAAGTTAGAGAAGTCAGGAGGACGATAAGAGAGGAGAGTTTGGTCAGAAGTTGGAGAAGTCAGGAGGACAATAAGAGGAGAGTTTGGTCAGATGTTAGAGAAGTCAGGAGGACGATAAGAGGAGAGTTTGGTCAGAAGTTAGAGAAGTCAGGAGGACGATAAGAGGAGAGTTTGGTCAGAAGTTAGAGAAGTCAGGAGGACGATAAGAGGAGAGTTTGGTCAGAAGTTAGAGAAGTCAGGAGGACGATAAGAGGAGAGTTCGGTCAGAAGTTAGAGAAGTCAGGAGGACGATAAGAGGAGAGTTTGGTCAGATGTTGGAGAAGTCAGGAGGACGATAAGAGGAGAGTTTGGTCAGATGTTAGAGAAGTCAGGAGGACGATAAGAGGAGAGTTTGGTCAGATGTTAGAGAAGTCAGGAGGACGATAAGAGGAGAGTTTGGTCAGATGTTAGAGAAGTCATGAGCACGATAAGAGAGGAGAGTTTGGTCAGATGTTGGAGAAGTCAGGAGGACGATAAGAGAGGAGAGTTTGGTCAGAAGTTGGAGAAGTCAGGAGGACGATAAGAGGAGAGTTTGGTCAGAAGTTAGAGAAGTCAGGAGGACAATAAGAGGAGAGTTTGGTCAGATGTTAGAGAAGTCAGGAGGACGATAAGAGGAGAGTTTGGTCAGATGTTAGAGAAGTCATGAGGACGATAAGAGAGGAGAGTTTGGTCAGAAGTTGGAGAAGTCAGGAGGACGATAAGAGGAGAGTTTGGTCAGAAGTTAGAGAAGTCATGAGGACGATAAGAGAGGAGAGTTTGGTCAGAAGTTGGAGAAGTCAGGAGGACGATAAGAGGAGAGTTTGGTCAGAAGTTGGAGAAGTCAGGAGGACGATAAGAGGAGAGTGTGGTCAGAAGTTGGAGAAGTCAGGAGGACGATAAGAGGAGAGTTTGGTCAGAAGTTAGAGAAGTCAGGAGGACGATAAGAGGAGAGTTTGGTCAGAAGTTAGAGAAGTCAGGAGGACGATAAGAGGAGAGTTTGGTCAGAAGTTGGAGAAGTCAGGAGGACGATAAGAGAGGAGAGTTTGGTCAGATGTTGGAGAAGTCAGGAGGACGATAAGAGGAGAGTTTGGTCAGAAGTTAGAGAAGTCAGGAGGACGATAAGAAGAGAGTTTGGTCAGATGTTAGAGAAGTCAGGAGGACGATAAGAGGAGAGTTTGGTCAGAAGTTAGAGAAGTCAGGAGGACGATAAGAGGAGAGTTTGGTCAGAAGTTAGAGAAGTCAGGAGGACGATAAGAGGAGAGTTTGGTCAGATGTTAGAGAAGTCAGGAGGACGATAAGAGGAGAGTTTGGTCAGAAGTTAGAGAAGTCAGGAGGACGATAAGAGGAGAGTTTGGTCAGAAGTTAGAGAAGTCAGGAGGACGATAAGAGAGGAGAGTTTGGTCAGATGTTGGAGAAGTCAGGAGGACGATAAGAGAGGAGAGTTTGGTCAGAAGTTAGAGAAGTCAGGAGGACGATAAGAAGAGAGTTTGGTCAGATGTTAGAGAAGTCAGGAGGACGATAAGAGGAGAGTTTGGTCAGATGTTAGAGAAGTCAGGAGGACGATAAGAGGAGAGTTTGGTCAGAAGTTAGAGAAGTCAGGAGGACGATAAGAGAGGAGTTTGGTCAGATGTTAGAGAAGTCAGGAGGACGATAAGAGGAGAGTTTGGTCAGAAGTTAGAGAAGTCAGGAGGACGATAAGAGAGGAGTTTGGTCAGATGTTAGAGAAGTCAGGAGGACGATAAGAGGAGAGTTTGGTCAGAAGTTAGAGAAGTCACGAGGACGATAAGAGGAGAGTTTGGTCAGATGTTAGAGAAGTCAGGAGGACGATAAGAGGAGAGTTTGGTCAGAAGTTAGAGAAGTCAGGAGGACGATAAGAGAGGAGAGTTTGGTCAGATGTTGGAGAAGTCAGGAGGACGATAAGAGGAGAGTTTGGTCAGATGTTAGAGAAGTCAGGAGGACGATAAGAGGAGAGTTTGGTCAGAAGTTAGAGAAGTCAGGAGGACGATAAGAGGAGAGTTTGGTCAGAAGTTAGAGAAGTCAGGAGGACGATAAGAGGAGAGTTCGGTCAGAAGTTAGAGAAGTCAGGAGGACGATAAGAGGAGAGTTTGGTCAGATGTTGGAGAAGTCAGGAGGACGATAAGAGGAGAGTTTGGTCAGATGTTAGAGAAGTCATGAGGACGATTAGAGAGGAGAGTTTGGTCAGATGTTGGAGAAGTCAGGAGGACGATAAGAAGAGAGTCTGGTCAGATGTTAGAGAAGTCATGAGCACGATAAGAGAGGAGAGTTTGGTCAGATGTTGGAGAAGTCAGGAGGACGATAAGAGAGGAGAGTTTGGTCAGAAGTTGGAGAAGTCATGAGGACGATAAGAGGAGAGTTTGGTCAGATGTTGGAGAAGTCAGGAGGACAATAAGAGGAGAGTTTGGTCAGAAGTTAGAGAAGTCAGGAGGACGATAAGAGAGGAGAGTTTGGTCAGAAGTTAGAGAAGTCAGGAGGACGATAAGAGAGGAGAGTTTGGTCAGAAGTTAGAGAAGTCAGGAGGACGATAAGAGGAGAGTTTGGTCAGATGTTGGAGAAGTCAGGAGGACGATAAGAGGAGAGTTTGGTCAGAAGTTGGAGAAGTCAGGAGGACGATAAGAGAGGAGAGTTTGGTCAGATGTTGGAGCTGTGAGCTGGAAGCAGAGGTTATCTTTGAGGAAGCTCCCGCTGACACTCGGAGAGACGCTCAGCCTGCTGCTCTCTCTCCAAACACTCCATTACAGCACAACTCACTTTGCTCCTCATCTGTATTACTGAGACACAGGCCTCACTCCCTGCACTCGTTCAGCACAGTGAGAAGATTTCTGATGTGTGTTTGATTGTACAGCACTTCAGGTATTAAAGTTGTGTATTGTATAACTGCTCTCCTCATGCATTTACATTTCTATTAAAAAATTGCAACTACTTTCCAATTGTTTTTGTAATGCATATAGTATCCTATGTTGACTTTCTTTATTAGCTCTTATTTTACATTTATCATAACCTATTCTGTACATTTTATATTCTACAAATACTCTTAAGATGTATATCTCTATGTTGAGAAGTATACATTTATTTTTAAATGATTTACATTTTCTTGGTAACAACAAAATAAATGTCCCAATTCGGGAACAATGACGTTTCTTTGAACCAGCAAAAAAAGTTTTACAAATAATTTTAATATAGACTTTTGTTTAAAAGTTTGTTATTTTATTTTATAAT